CACGACAGAAATAAGACCCCTCCACATGAGCACAGACAAAAACAAGAATACCAGCCGAACCACAAAAATAAACCAACATCTGCCTCCCCCAGCCGATGGGAGTGGCTGTGGCTTCTTTACCAAATACAGGGTCAGCACTGTTTCATTCCTCCGCTTCTAGGTCAGAATCCTAAAGATCCTCTCAAGTCCTCGGCCATAGAATTCTCCTGCTCCCTGACTGCACCCAGTGGAGAGGAAATCCCCACTTCTCCGAACCCTTCCCAAAGTCACTGAAGAAACACAAACCCTGCAACTTCCTTCTAACACAACCCTCCAACCGGGACGCCGCGGCTCCTCAGGGGTGTGGCCTCCCCGTCACAGCTGCATCAATAGATGGAGCTCTGGTTGGCTGCAGGTGTCTTTCCAGCCGTCCCTGACTGATGGCATCAGCTGGCTCAAGGGTGCTCATCATGAGAGCAAGTGTCTTTCACACAGTGCACCAAGTCAGGAGCCCTTCCTTCCAGCTCCCACTCATGTCTCTGCCACCAGCTACATGACCTTGAGCAGGTCCTTAACCTGGGAGTCTCGGCGTCCCTGGCTGCAAAATGGAGCAGGACTTGCCTTGCTACCGCTCCCGGAAAGGGAGGATGGACAGAGACACTGTAAAGGTGGCTGGGAGGAGTCTGACCCTTGCACAGGGTCACCATGGAATTTATTTTCAACTTCTGAGGGTGAAAAGGGACATTATTGGTAACTACACTGAGGCACAGGTATAAACCAGGCCTCTCCCCAGCAAAAGGGGAGGAAAGGTGACCTGCCTCAGAGGAGCTATGGGAAATGAAGACAGAGAGGGTGTGAGGTGCCTCTGGGAGTTGATGAGTGTAGTGGGGTGAAGGAGGGCCCCCCAGAAGACATACACATGTCCTAACCCTCAGAACCTATGAATGTGACCTTATCTGAAAAAAGGGTCTTTCCAGATGTAATTAAATTAAGGATCTTGAGATGAGTCATCCTGGATTACCTAGGTGGTCCCTGAATCCAATGACAAGTGTCTTTATGGAAACAGAAGAGGAGAGAAGACCCAGGGCACAGATAAGCCATGGGAAGATGGAGGCAGGCACTGGAGCACTGTGGTCACAAGCCAAGGAAGCTTGGAGCCACCAGGAGCTGGAAGAGATGGGAAGGATTCTCTCCTAGATCCTTTGGAGGAAGTCCAGTCCTGCTGACATCCTGATTCTGGACTTCTGTCTTCCAGAATTGTGAGAGGATAACTTTCTGTTGTTTTAAACATCAAGTTTGTGGTGATTTGTTATGGCAGCCCTGGAAAACAAGACCAGTGGTTAGGGGGGCCTTTAAGGACACTCTCCCTGGATGCTCTGTCCCTTCCAGGGATTCTCTCTGGAATTATTCAGTTGCAACAGAGGTCACCCTCCAACTCCCACCTCCTGGCCCAGGTTTTAGCCTTGCCCAGGGAGGAGGTAGGGCTCCAGGCCTGCAAGCGTCTCTCCTGGAGTGCTGAGCCCTAGACGCACACCTTGCCCCAGCTATGGGGAGGGGGCAGCTGTCTAAGCAGCTGAGGATCTGAGGATTGCTCTAGTGTGGCAGAAAAAGAGCCTAATCCATTCTGTTTTAGGGGCATCTGGCCAGGCCCTGGCCCAGGACTGGAGAAGCTGTGGGAAGCAGGTCTGCAGGCCTGCCCAGGAGCCAAATAAAAGCCGGGGTCAGAGGAAGGAGCAGCAGAATGTGAAGTCAGAGGCCTGTAACCTCCTCTTTCTTTCTTTCTTTCCTCCTTTCTTCCTTTCTTCCTTCCTTCCTTCCTTCCTTCCTTCCTTCCTTCCTTCCTTCCTT